TCAATATTACAACAAATCTCAGGTATTATAAAATAATTCCAACATCCTCCCTATTTTATAATAAGTCCTTGATTTGTAATGCACTTCGAAAAACTTTGCTTTATTCAAGGGTTTGGTGAAAGAATCAGCAATCATTAAATTTGTCGGAACATAATTCAGGCACAACTTCCCCTCCTCAATCTTCTCCTTCAGAAAATGATGTCGTACATCAATATGCTTTGTACGAGCCTGGTATGCTCCGTTTAATGCCAACTTCTGTGCCCCTTGATTGTCGATATACAACAAAGTTGGCTTCAAGTCTGAACTGATTTCTTGACTTAAACCACTGAGCCATAATGCCTCTTGAACTGCTGAAGACATAGCCATATACTCTGCTTCCGTCGTAGAGAGTGCCACGGTTGGCTGCTCTTTAGTATTCCAGGAAATGGGGGAACCATTTTTCAAAAAAATGTAACCAGTAACTGAACGCCTGTCATTTGGATCATTGGCCCAATCTGCATCGCAATATCCAAACACATCAGATCCTTCAATTTTCTTTCCTTTAAATTCAAGCTTATAATCAATCGTACCCTTCAAGTATCTGAAAATTTGTTTCACTGCACTCCAATGAGCTGGTCCAGGATTATTGTTATATCGACTCACACAACTAACGGCGTAGCAAATGTCGGGTCTTGAAATTTGAGAAGCAAACAACAACGAGCCAACTGCTGATATGGAATGCTTTCCATCTTAGCTTTTTCTTGGTCATTCGAGGGAGACTGTTCAGAAGTCAATTTTTCTCTAACACATAATGGAATGTCTACAGGATTACAATTATCCATATTGAATTTATTTAAAATTTTTCTCAAATAGACCTGTTGATCAATCCAAATTTTTTTGTTACTTCTATCCCTTGAGATTTGGAAACCAAGAACTGATTTAGCTGGCCCTATATTTTTCATTTCAAAATTGTTCATAAGTTGAGATATGAATTCATTTTTGGCCATACTATCATTCGAGAGCAAAATCATATCATCAACATAAATCGCCAGAATTATAATGATCTCTGTTATCTTATAATAAATGCAACAATCTGTTTGTGATTGATTCATCCCAATTTTTTTCAACCATGAATCCAGCTTTTGGTTCCAGATACGACTAGCTTGTTTTAAACCATAAAGCGATTTTTTTCAATCTACAAACTTTATTATTTGTATGTATAAAATATTCTGGAGGAATCATATATACTTCTTCATTTAGATCACCCTGTAAGAAAGCTGAAACCGCATCAAGCTGATCAATATCCAAATCGTGCTCAGCTGCAAAAGCAAGTAGGTATCTTATTGAACTATATCGAACCACTGGTGAGTACGTTTCTTCAAAATCAATTCCTTTTCTTTGTGCACATCCTTTTATTACCAAACGAGCTTTGTAATGGGAAATGATATCTTCATTTTTCTTAGTTTTAAAAACCCACTTACAATTTATTGCTCTCTTCCCGGCTGGTAGATCTACTAAATCCCAAGTGTCATTTCTGATCAGAGCATCATATTCAATTTTCATAGCCTGAAGCCATTTATCCTTATCTGACCTACTTAGAGCTTCTTCTACGGTTAAAGGATCGTCACCTGCTTCAATAATAGCTGAATAAGTTACATAATCGTTCATTGCACCGGGAGGTTTTCTTATGCGCTGTGGCCTTTGAATCGAAGCTTCAATTTCAACTGGAACTTTTGAACCTTGTTCTGAACTGTAACTTGAACTACTTTCACCCAATTTCTGAATTCCATCTGAAAAATTTGTATCAATACTATCAATAGGCTCACAAGCAGCCGTATTTGAAATTCCATTTTCAATTTCAATGTTTTCTCCATGCCACTGTTCTTCATCAGGTTCAATGTTTACCTCTTCTCTTTCATTGCCGCTTCGGTCACTTCTATTTGGAATAGATTTACTTACAGGTAATTGAAAAAAATCAGTCATATTTTTATCTCCATTTTTCTCTAATAAGTTGCATCCTTTTTCATTCTCAATAAATTGAACATCTCTGGATACAATCACAATTTTTTTTATTGGATTATATAGCCGGTACGCTTTCGATTCCATACTGTAGCCAACAAAAATGCACGGAATGGCCTTTACATCCAATTTCCTTCTTTTTTGACTAGGAACGTGAGCGAATGCTTGACAACCAAAAATTTTGAAATGTTTAACTGTTGGTTTTCTATTAGACCACAATTCTTCAGGTGTTTTTTCAATTGTCCTACTTGGTAAACGATTTGATACATAAACATATGTATACACAGCTTCAGCCCAAAAACATTTCGGTAGCTCAGCTTCAATCAAAAGACAACGCGCTTTTTCAATGATTGAACGATTAAGCCTTTCTGCTTTGCCATTCTGTTCAGCTGAGTAAGGAACAGTGACCTGATGTTGTATAGCTGCTTTTCTTAGCAAATTTTCAAGTTCTTTGCTACAATATTCTCCACCGTTGTCAGTTCTTAAACATTTAATTTTTTTACCAGTTTGAGTCTCCACTAAGTTCCTGAAAATCTTGAAATATTCAACAACTTGATATTTATTTTTCAAAAAATAGACAAATGTCTTATGGCTATAATCATCAAGAAATGTTAGTAAATACCTTGAGCCAGCCAGAGAATTTTCTTGCATCGGACCACATAAATCGGAGTGTATTAATTCCAACACTTGATTAGTAAAGCAAGACTAATCTGAAAAGGTAATCGGTGACTTTTTCCCATGATACATGTTTCACATGCAAAATCTGATGGTAGATTGCCTTTGATGTCCATTCCATAAACTAGACCATCTTTAAGTTTATTTAAACTTCCCATGTTCACATGAGCTAAGTGACTATGCCATAAACTAATTTTTGATGAAATACTTAACATGGCTATGTGATTGTCTCTTTTAAACAAATCTAATTTAAACAAATTATTCTCCAGAGTGGCTGTGGCAATTAGTTTCTTTGAAAAATCATAAATGCTAGCACCACTTGAATTAAAAATAACAGTGTGCCCTTTTCTAACTATCTGACTAATTGACAATAGATTTACGTTTAACTCTGGGACATAATAAACCTCTTTTACTTTAATATTAGAACTTTTTTTATCGATTGAGAGGCAAAGATCGACATTACCAATTTTATCGGTGCTCATTTCTTGATTATTAGCAGTTGCGATTATCAATTTTGTCCATACATGCCGATTTGATGTCATATGTGCAGAACATCCTGAATCCAAGTACCATACATCATTGTTTTTTTGCTGAACTGAAAAAGCAGAAAATAAGGAAGAAGAAAAATCATCTCTATTTTTATTTTTGTCCTGAATTCTTTTCCTCTCATCGCATTCATTGGCGAAATGACCATACTTATGACAATTGTAACAACGTGGACCATTCTATTTGAAGTTTTTGTTATTATTACCCATATTTTTCTTTTTTGAACGACTCCCATATCCATATCCATACATTGCCATTGTATTTTGGTCAGGGTCAGTGTCCACAGAAATATCTTGAAGCAATTTGGTTTTGATGGAATCACCAGTGACGGGTGTTACCTGAGCTTTCAATACACTATCATTGGTTTGTAGGTGTCAGGTAAAACCGCTAGCAGAATAGTGCCTACCCATTCGTCATTCACAGGTAGACCAACATTTGAACGTTTGTTTGCAGTTGTTATGACGGTATTAACATAATTTTCCACAGAACTACTATTTTCCAATGTTGTGGTAATCAATTGCCGTAAAAGTCCTACTCTTCGCGTTAATCCAGAGTCTTCAAATGCGGTTTTAAGGTTGTCCCAGGCTTCCTTAGCCGTTTTTGTTGATTGGATATGTACATAATTTATTGGATCAACTAATAAAATAAGTTTCGACCGAGCTTTTGTCACTTTTTTGACATCTGCTTCTGTACCTTCTACCGCAGCCCACAGTTCTTCCAATTCAAAGAATGCTTGTACAGCGAACTTCCATTGCTCATAATTTTCTCGCCCTTTTAATCTCTCAATGGACGGTAATTGATAAGCAGACATCCTGAGTTCGCAAGCAAAAAAATTTTATTTTTCGAATCGTCTTCTGCAATGGTTAACAATTATGGGATTTCTGAGGGGGGCCCATAACCTGTTGTTAATCAAGCCCCAAATTGTATGTAACACCAATAATATATCTGGAAGAGTACGGACGAATTCTATTGAACTGAATTACAAATTACAATAATAACATATATCTTTCAAAGTCAACTAACTAAAAACCGGTACCGGCGGTACCTATATTACAACAAATCTCAGGTATTATAAAATAATTCCAACAAAAAGGGGCCCCCATTATCTCGTTCCTGTTCAAAGAAACTAATTAGAGATACAACGAGTTTCTGATTCTGACTATTCAATGGCTTTGGCATTTTATAGATACACAAATAGAAATAATTTCAAATTATTAAAATCAGTAACCGCAGATTTGCAGCAATATTTGGCAACATAACCCATGAGTGCCAATCTAAATGTCATTTTATCGGCCGATTCGGTTAAATGCCAACAGTGTTCTGTCTTTTTTTAACTAAGGTTAAATAAAAAGGAGAATGAGCTCTCTGCTTGAAACGAATTTTAATTTCTTATTCTACAAACTGCAATTGGCAATAATTTCGACGTCATTGATCACGTGCATACACTGTTTAAATAATTTCACTATATCACTACTTTTACTCTATACTTTCTTTTTCCCATGATTCTTTCCCTTGAAATTTTTGAAAAAATTAAAAAGCTCCGCAAACGTGGTACTTTGTGGTACTTTCACAAACACCAAAATCAAGAATGAAAATTGCCACTAGCAACGGATAACAAGTATGGCAGTCCGTTACCTACAGGAAAAAGTTTTGTTTTTTTTTTTACAGATTTCTTCTTTAAAAATATGGTGCGTTCACGAATATCAGGTTCAAGTACTACGTGTGTGATTTATGAGGGAAATACGCTGAAATAAAATTCATAAAAATAATGTTTTCTTTACCTGAATTGCAGGAGCACAAGACAAAGCCTCGGTAAAACAAATCATGCACATATCGTCCGAATCTTGTCTCAAACTAACATCATTCGAACATCCATGTAAACAAGGTAAGCATTGGGTTTCTTTTAAAACCCCACCGCACATATGACCGCAGTTTAACAGCTTCGTGCAGGCAGTTTTCCCATATTCCTGGCATTCCGAGTCTGCGCAAACATTTCCAATAGCCAATAAACCCGAATTGCCTGTAGTACCGCAAAATCGACAAATTCCAGTTATACCGGCAGCTCTGGTACGTGCACCGCCTTCTCGATACTCAACCAATGCTTTGAGAGTTCTAGAATCGGCCAACGCTAGAAGCCAAAAGAGTTTGGTTCTTCCACATCCTTCATGTAGTTCCACTTTTATTGCTTCTTCTTCTTCTTTACACACCTAATTTACAAGCAATTTATATTTATTGAAATATTGTCAGGTGATTCTTACTTGTCTTAAGTGGGCTCTAGTTTTCCTGTGCAAATGCAAAAATCTATCACAATCTGCACATAGATTGCCACAATTGTTGCACTGAATCACAGCAGTGGTTTCACCGTCGTCGTGATTGCTGCACATAGGCCTGGGAGGCATTGGATGGCCTTCGGCCTTACTCCATTGACCTAATTGAAGATTTTTGTCAATAAATCATTAGAAACAATATTTTACCTGAGGAAAGCCGCTCTACATGATCTTTGTCCAATACGCATAAAGAAGCCAGAGCTAGCCATAGAGTGGGCGTTTTTAGACAAACATTAGGCACTCGATATTCTTCATTTAAACAAGTCAAATTTAAAATATTTTCGGCTATGGCTCCTTTGGTAATGTTGGCCCAAATTTCAGACATTTTACCCTGTAATCACAAAAATATTTCGAGGGGATTCTTACAATAAAAATCCTTACCGCAGTCATATCAGTTATAAGCTGCACAATAACTTCGGCCAATTTTCTATTGGCCGTACCTCTCAAGTACCATCTCTGAGCTACGTCATCGTTCCCTTGTATGGAAGCAGCCAAAGTAATGGTACTGATTTCCTTAGCTGCCCCTCCACTACCTGATTTGCTACGCATCTTCACTTGCAACGTTAAAGCTTTAGCAATCACACTTAGAAAAATATCCAGAATCCCAATACTAAAAATAATTGTTTTATGAATTATTTATACACACAAAATCCTTACTTGTTTATATCAAATTTGAAAGAGTTAGCATCTTTATTGGCCACGCTGACGATATTAAAATCTCTAGGTGGCAGGCTTGTGACTCCTACAACTTTGGCAAAGAATTCCGGAGTGATTTCAGGAAGCATTCGTCTCAACAAAGAAGTGACTTGTCTTTGGACTCTGGCGCTTCCCGTGTGTAGCAAAGTCAACAAATCGCCCAACAATCCACCCTGGTGAGACAAATAGGCTCTGCCCACTGAGCTACCCGATAAAGCCAATACCATTGAAAGCATTTCAAAGCAATAAGTATCTGAAGTTTTTGCTACATTAGAGCTGCTGTTTGATGATACAACTGAAGCTGTGCAAAGGTTGGTTTCCCATTCGTCTCTGACTCTTTCAGTCTCTTTGCGGATGGCTTGTACAATATGGACGATTACTTGTTTTTGTAAATGGGTTAATTTACTTCTGCTAAATAGAATTCCAACCATGTGCTCTCTTAAATCGTTACTTTCTTCTAAAGGTTCCATTGCCTCACTCGGTGATAGATTGTTTTCGTTGTTGAGGAACTCGCCTTGAATTAGCTTGCCAAAAACTTGAGCTAATTGAAACAAACATAAGTAAATTTTCTAATAAATCAAAATAATTCACCTGTTATTAATCTGAAAACCCTTAAAGTTTCACTTTCACAATTCCTTTGCTGTATAGTACCAGCACTATACAATTTGCCAACTTTTAAAATTTCTCCTTCCACCTTTCCAAGTATACGAATCTGACGCAAACGTACCGAATTATCAGGGCCTTTTAGCTCCAATCTAATAACGTTGTCTAGAGGCTCTACAGAAAATACTTGTTAAAAAAAGCCTTATTATTCCTAAAATTACTACCTGTTATTGGACAATTAACCCATCCACCAAGCAATCTAGTTTCAACTTCGACAGTCCTCAGTTTAACAAGCTCGTCAGTGTTTTGTCCAGAATAAAATGTAATCGTAGCAATTTTATTGCCGAGATCCCTACAATTATCCACATGAACGCATAGTAAAACTGGATGTTGTCCGTGAGCGCAAATAATCGTTATACTTTTAGTTTTGTTTCTGTCCTCGTCTCCACTTTCCCAAAACGTTTCAGTGGATCCGTCAGTTAGACTTCCAATCATTGCTTGTCTACTTGAAGCACGAATTTCAACTGATTGGGTGAGATCTTTGAGGCATTCAACTGAAGCTGTTGGATGGTGAAAGGCGCTTTCGTGCATTGAAATCTACAAAATTACACTTGATATATACGAACATGTTATTATTCATGGGGATGGAGCCAGTGATAAATGAAAATAAATCTTTTATCTAATGGAAGCTTTCGCAATTAGTATATTGCTTCGTCAGTTATACTGAAATATAAATATAAAGTTAAATCAACAATCAAATCTCTCAAAAACAAGATTGGTGAATACACAAGGATGAGGGAAGAGGCAACTAGGGAACTCCCACTTTTCCGGCTCAAAAATGGTTCCTAATGATCCCCTGAATTCCATTAACTAAATTATTCCGAGATTTGGAGCCGGGTTCTATGAAAAAAAGCACTCAGGAGATTTTGTTCCCGATGATTACCTGCGGATTTCCTTACCGTGATTTTTTCTCGGAATCTATAACTCCAATTGAGCTAATTTTTAGGGATTGTAGCCCGCCAGTGGGATAAGAATCGCTGAAAATTTCAGCTTTCTATCTTTAATAGAAAAAAAGTTATGCCCTTCCAAAGTTTTCCAAAATCTAAATCATAAGCTAACTTCTTACTAAAACGATGAAATTTCAAAAATGTTTTTGTTGAGATTTTGTGTCCTAATGGTCAATAAACATCCCCCAAACTCCATACACTAAATTATTCTCAGATTTGAAGCCGAAATCTATGAAAGAAGGCACTCAGAAAAATTGAAAAATTGATAAATCACCCCAAATTGCTTAACACGATTTTATCTTAGGAACTATAATTGCAAATGAGCTGAAATTTTCAGGGATTGTAGTCCCTTTATTGAGATAACATTCAGTGAAAATTTCAGCTTTCTATCTATAAGAGAAAAAAAGTTATGCCCTTCCAAATTTTCCCAAAATCTAAATCATAAGGTAGCTCTACCTTCTTACTACAACGATGAAATTTCAAACATTTTTTCATTGAGATTTTGTATCCTAATGGTCAATTAACATCCCCCAAACTCCATACACTAAATTATTCTTAGATTTGTAGCCGAAGTCTATGAAAAAAGGCACTCAGAAAAATTGGAAAATTGATAAATCACCCCAAATTGCTTAACACGATTTTATCTTAGGAACTATAATTGCAAATGAGCTGAAATTTTCAGGGATTGTAGTCCCTTTATTGAGATAAGATTCAGTGAAAATTCCAGCTTTCTATCTGTCATAGAAAAAAAATTATGTCCTTCCAAAGTTTTCCAAAATCTAAATCATAAGGTAACTACCTTCTTACTAAAACGATGAAATTTCAAAAAAAATTCAAAAAATATACAGATTTCGACCGAGGTCAAGTACTTGGGGGTAATACTGGACTCAAAAAATTCCCTGGAATCAACATATGGAAAACACCACCAAAAAAGCGGTAACATCACTCAATAAAAGACTTGTACAACCTTGTACATGGTACAAAAATACTGAACTGGTTGGAATAAACCACACAGGCTAAGTTATACAATAGGCCTTCACAGGCTTCAGTGCTGCATGAAGACAATAAGTCGGACAGGCCTGGAACAAGATCTCCACGAATAATAACATATTCATATGAAGAATAAAGCCACGATAATACTTAATATAAGAAATATACTATATAGATTCCAACTTACAGTAAAGTCCTCCATTTCCTCACTCCTAGACAAAATTTTGCTAATATTATTAAACACTTGCGATCGATGTAGGAAGCTGTGATCAGCGGGTTCAAACCGCAACCCCCAACATCTAACAGAAATTTGCTGTAAGGGTGAACCCATAGGTAATAAAATCATTATGTGGGCAATAGTTTGTAGAAGGGCATGAAACGTGCCTGGTAAAGGATGCACAGCGTCACCAGCAATAGTGATATCAGACAATGGATGTTCGCAAACATTTAAATCTTCATCTGCCTTTTTAGGAGGTCTATTATCCTCTTCGGATTCCATTTCAATTTCTACAGGTGTGAGTGAGGTAACGAACCACCATAATAAATCGTGCAAGCAAATTGGTTGAGTAACGGACCTGAGGAGCCAGTTTAGGGCTTGCATGGCGTAGACTCTACACATTGCTTTCCTAAAATTCGGATCGTTATTCAGCTGTAAATAATAAATCATTAGATACCTTAAGGCTTGCTTCATACAAATTTTCAATGAATCCAAATCGTATTGTTGTACCACAAATTGTAAAACGGGCCTTTCCATTAAATGCAGGCTCTCTCTTTGCTCGTCATTGACAATTGACGATATTTCTTCTTTGGGTAACAATTTTTGTAAGGCCGGCGAGGGATTGCACAGCAAAGATGATCCACCTTCTATATCAATAAGGATGTTAGAATTTTGTAGATAATTTTGGTATAGACTCACCTCCAGCAATTTCTGAGCTGCTGTTATTCCTGCGACGCATCATTATAATTCTACCATCATAGCCGGCTTTGGCCCACGGAATTCCGTTGGTACCCATTGAAACTGATCGATGAAATCTCATACCTTTTATTGCGTCTGATTCAGTTTCAGATAAAGATACTTCAGAAAGGGGCTACAAAGGAGGCATATGTATTATTTAAAACAGCGTAAACATAAAAATTCTTACTCGTTGGCTAGAGGTAGAAGGAATATTGCCAAAACTATTCTGAAAATTTTGCCTTTGCAGCATTTCATTGTAAAAAGCTGGCTCGTCAAAGAAATTCATGCCTCCCAAAGTAGACAGACATTGAAAAGGTGGTAAAGGACCAAAAGGTCCAGAACAATCTGGAGGAGTAATATTTTCCGAAACTGATGGCATAACGCATCCAGATGCCCGTCTCTGACTGCCCATTCCAGTATCGGCGGAACTAGCCAAATCCAATAGGAACATTGCGTTATTTTTCATGACAATATGTTGTTCGGAACCGGAGGGCATTGGCCTCATTGGCAATGGCTTTCTATGGATAATGGTTTTGGCTTTAGCTGATTGCTTGCCTCTGCAATTTTTTGTGTATTTTTCTCTGCACTGTTCGCAAAGGAGATACCAAGAACTTCCAGCTAAAAATAATTATCAATGTATGTTATACACACACAAAAATATACATACGAACTCCTCCATCTCCACAATTTCCCGCCCATCCTAAACAATAATTTCCTCCAGAATTATAGCCTTTGCCTCCAGCGTGTTGGCCACATCCAGGATGTTCTTGGTGCATGTGATAAGTAACAGGATGAGGAAAACTGTCACCACACAATTCGCATAAAGTATCACCCGCTCCAGCATGCAAATACGAAGTCAAGCCGATATCTTCCAAGTAATTCCTAGGAGGCACTTTCTTCTTCTTGTTTTTCTTGCTTTCCTTTTCGATTGTGTTGTTTTTCTCTTTGGCGTCGGTTTTCATTCCTCCCCGATCTTTGGTTGAAGCTGTTAGTTGTTGATTCATGTTTTGTAAACAATTCGATGTCAGTTCTTCCCATAAGAATACTAGGCTTTTTAAAGCAGGCGGTAAGACCGATATGGTTTGGTAGGTGTAATTTGGCTCAGAGGATTCTTCTTTAATCGTACCATCTGTGATTTTTCTGGATCTGTTTCTGTTGGCGCTGGCATTGGCCGCTGATCGCGTTAGAGATTCCAAAGTGGATGGTTGGATGTGGAGGTAATTGCCAGCGTTACTAACCTAAATTTTAATAATTTGAAGAAATTGTTCTTGAAACAAAATTTACTTACTTCCACTGAATGTCGTTGTCTAGCCCTTTCCTCTTTGGTCAATTCTTTGCGTCGTTTATCGAGAGGAGTATCGGAATGTCGAGTGACAACTTGAGCTCCTTGTTTCGGTAAAGTTGGATGAAATTTCAAAAAACTAGCGCAAGCCATCGCGTCGTGAACGATACCTTCGTGCCACAAAAAAGCCGCGAAAACGGCCCGCAAAGATTCAGCCACCGAAGGGCTCATGGCTTGTTTAACGGGTTCGCCAGCTGGATAACTGGTCTTTGAAGTGGCCGGCATTTGATGCATGTTCGCCGGCGATATGGCCCTTTTTGGACGGTTTTTAGTCGCGCCTCTATCTTTGCGCATCATTTTCGGCGATACTTTTTCCTCTTTGTTAACGGTGCCAATGGAGAAATGCCCCTTGACTGGATTTATAGCGTTTTCTGGAGATGTCTGAGTACCAGTTTGAGTTAGTTTTTTTTGCTCATTGTCTTTTACTGGCGTATGTGGTGGGCTTGTATGTAATGAGCTACTAGTAGGACTTGGCGTCAATCCTCTAGATTGACTAGGGGATTGAGACAAGTCTCTTGTGATGCTACTAACTAGAGCACTTGTGTCGGATTGATTCGAGCCTCTTCTTGTACCATCAGGACCTGAGACTGAGAAAATATTATAAAATACAATAGGGCCGCAACTAAAACCTTTGACACTTGGGGCCAATCCAAATTTTGGGGCTTAGCACTAATTCTACCACTGTGTAAAGATACAGGGTGATCAATATTTCAGTATCCCTAGCTCTTAATAATGTAGAAAAACTTTCATGGGAGCCGTTAATAGAAAACAATTTTACCCGCTGTAATTCGACTCAGCAAAAATAAACCACTGTATAAAGATACAGAGTGATCAATATTTCATTATTCCCGGCTCTTGTAAGGAATCTTTCACGAAAGCTAGTAATCGAAAACAATTCCATCACCGTGTGATCAATATTTTATTATCCTTGGCTCTTAATGTCGAAAATCTTTCATGAGAGCCGTTAATAGAAAACAATTTAACCCACTGTAATTGACTCGACAAAAATAAGCCACTGTATAAAGATACAGAGTGATCAATATTTTATTATTCCTGGCTCTTGTAGGAAATCTTCCACGAAAGCTGGTAATCGAAACCACCACTGTGTAAAAATGCGGGCTGATCAATATTTTATTATTCCGGGCTCTTAATGTAGAAAATCTTCCATGAGAGCCGGAAATAGAAATAGTATATTACATGCGGAGGTGGAAAGTGTTTCATTATTGTCGAGAGATACTATGGTTGACCGAGGTGCGAAGCGCCGAGATCGACCAATTCTCGAGACAATATATGTGAAAACTTTCCACCGAAATACTATTTTATTTTGAACCATTAATTATTGAAAGGTAAAAATCACAAAACGTAAAAATATGACAAAAATGGAAGTTTGACTGATACTCTGACACCGACATTGACATCTTATGAAATTTCAACAATATAAACACATGTGACATCTACTTCTGAATACAAACATTACACCTGGATTTGTGTTTAGGTTTGAAAGAACAATATTTATCAGGCGGAAAGTGAATGCTACAGGCCAAAAGTGACAGGAGAACTGTCACTTTTGGACAATTTTATTTTGAACCATATTATGTAATTTTCACATTCCTTACTGATTTGAAGGTTCGAAAATGTCACTTTACTTTTGTTTACTTTAAAGCAGGCAAAAAGTGACTGTTCTCCTGTCACTTTCGGCCTGGAGAACTCACTTTCGGCCCTGATAAATGGTTCTTTCGCACCCACAAATCCAAGTGCAATGCTTGTATTTAGAAGTAGATATCGTAGATCTTACATGTGTTTATATTGTCGAAATTTCATAAGATGTCAATGTCGGTGTCAGACTGTCAGTTGAAATTCCATTTTTTGTCATATTTCTATAGTGTGGCAGATTATTGAACTAATTACTTCGATCGTTTCTGACAACTCGGTTTAATTTGTCTTTGTCAGCAACTTGCCCAAAAATGTTCTATCTTTTTTTAACACATACAAAATACAAAATTTGACAAATGATTGAATCCAAAGACCATCAATCAAAAATTGAATGCTCACAATCATAACGTAAAATTTCTTCTATTATTTCTATTAGAGAAATGAGAAAACATTCTGTAATCATAAATATTAATTAATTAGACAAAACCGACACCAATAATAGTGTGTTTTCGAATTTGCGATGATGCGAGATGCAGTAAAAAGGTAAACACAAAGTTTATAATACAAACATTTTTAGTTACTGTATATTTATAAAATTGGAATAAAAAAATAAGTTTGTTTGAAGATATCTCAATTTTTGTATTGTTCAATTAACTCCTTGACCCCCTTAAGGAATCTCATTACATCTAATTTCGATTTTTTAAAAATAAGTTCTGTTATCGTACGTTCTAAACAGTTGCTCGGTAAATTTTAGCAAGGTTTTTCAACAAATGTTTTGCTTTGCAATTATTATCTGTTTTAAGCGTTTACAGTACTTTATTTTTAATAAATCTCAAATAAAATCAAAGTTAATAATTTAATTATTCAAAAAAGCCGCCTTTTCACTGCCGGTAAAGAAGAAACCTGCATTCAAACAATGTTCACTCTTCTATTGCTGTCCGTAGCCAGCAGAGGCGCTAACGTCGACATTGTGCCAGTTAAGTACAGGGGAATGACTTTACTACTATTATATTTCTCCATGATTTCTACCTTATTGTTTTCAATAATTAATGGTTCAAAATAAAATAGTATACATAATTCGGTGGAAAGTTTTCAATTTATTGTCTCAAGAATTGGTTGACCTCGGCGCTTCGCACCTCGGTCAACCATAGTATCTCTCGATAATAATGAAACACTTTCCACCTCCGCATGTAATATACTATTACCCACTGTAATTTGACTCATTTAAGGTTGTATATTAATCTTCTTTGGCGGCGAGAGGGCGCAAATACAATTTATAGATAATAGTAGAGTATTAACCTAAAGGTGATAGACCGATGCTTTTAGATGATCCATGAATTGGAGGGCTGCTGCTGACACTTTCAGGAGGAAAGGCACGGCCTAAAATAGCTTAAATTTTCAACAAATTCACAATAAATAAAATTTTAATTACTAGGTAAAGCTATTGGGCTAGAGCTTCTGCTCATAGGCTTAGGAGAAAAAGCTTTGGGACTTTGAGACCTCTTTGGTGTATCTGGTGGGGTAATTCCATTACCGTTTGAGCCTAATTCTGGAGCAATCCGCCCAGAAGTATCAGAAAACCCTTCATTGCTGCAATAAACAGATTTAGTTTAATTATGCAATTTTCATTTGGACACTCACGCTTGCCCATCGCTCCTAGTCAATTTTGGTCTAAATTTTAACTTATTACTGCTATCTTTCCGTTCTCTTTTAGGCACCTTAGGTGGATCACCATCTACATTTTCTCCAAAAATAAACGGATTCAATTCTTCAGATTTGCACTTGACAGTCGAGGAACTGCTCTGACCACCGGAAAATGTAAAATCGCTGGATTTCGGATACGAAAAATGAAAACCGCGTTTCTGGTTGTCAGAGGATGGCGCTTTTGGATTATCAGATTCGCCGACGTTATCCAGATAAAGAACGTTGTTTGTGCCGATGGCCAAAGACCACGCCTCACCTTCACCGTCAACGTTGAAGCAATATTTTTCGATTGTGGCTTTATCCAGAAGCACCCAACAGCCTTCTGAGTTTACAACGTATTCGCTTACACCAATACGATTACCCAGGACTAGCATACCAACTGGAGGAGCTTGTAAACTTGGTCTGCTTCTCACGTTGTGACCAGAAGCTCCACATTTGATTACCTTAAAATATATTTTAGGTTGTAAGGAAATTGTGAAATCCGTTCTAGAAAGTTTACCTTGTAACTGACTTGTGAATTTTTATCCTGTATTTCGGGCAACTTTCGTAAAATCGTATCGGTAAGGACTTGTTCCAGAATAGTCTTGGGTTCCTCGACGGGCAGCAGCAACGTTTTTCCCAAATGCTGATTGTACTGAAGACACCAGGCTTCGATAATGTGCGGATTACAGTACTGCCTAATCGTATCCGCTGATAATCGTAGCCAAACCCCATCATCATTATGAATCTAAAAAAATAACTTCAGTAATTCTTGGTTTTCGAATATTTTATTAAATCTTACCTCATCAATAAACACAATTGTTCCATTAACATGCACAACCCCGATTTGTTCGCTTTGCAAAGACGGGTGCGCCCTTACACGTAAACCAGCCGAATTTTTAGCGATAAACTTCCGAACTTTGCTGGGCTGATTGCTGGACTTTTTGTTGGTATTTTGATTGGGTGGAATCATGCCTTGAGGTGGTTCTTTCACTTCAACCTTGAAAGCCTCCTCCATTTCGTAGCCGTCAATATTAACTACGATTGAGTAGCAACCGATTGAGGCTGGGGTCCATGTGGCGCTGTAGGTACCATCCAAATTGGCTCTTACTAGCATAGTTTCGCTGGATCTTTTAACTGGAGGAGATGTGAAGCTGAAAAAAAATACTCTATAATATTAGATTAGAATAATATTATTATCAAATACCGTAATTCCTCAAATGAATAATTTTGGTAGGGTTTCATTACAGTGATTGAATGAAACCTCATTTTATCTCTTATGGTTGGCTCGTAGCAATGGTGCAGGGGTGGAGGTGGCAAACCTCCAAACACCAAAGGATCAGGTTCGCTCACTCTTCTTATTTTTCTGCCAGCGTCACAATTTCCTAGCTCTTTTTTATCTATCGGTATAGCTTTCACGTGCACCTAAACCACAAATATTAAAAAACCTAGCAAACCACTTTACATATTACCTTCATATTTGGTACATAAACAGCATCTCCGTACTGATCTCGTGTTAGTACCGTTACAATCGTTGGCCATCCTTGTCTCAGATCTTCTCTGGTGCACAGTACCCTGCACAAAGATGGTTCTGCGTGGCTACCGGGTTGTAACCATTGAGCTAAGCGACCACCACTGGAACCAGCCACGCAACCAACCAGGTCTCGAAGGAAGAGGCGTTCATTGGAATGGGCACTAATAAATAATAGAAAGATTTTATTAGTGAATTAATATTGTACTTTAAGAATTATCTTTTGCGTGTTTGTAGTTTATTTTCTGTTGACTCTATATTTTTTTCTCTATTCAAAAACCGATTTCTTCAAATTTTTATTTTGATCCTGGAACAAAAAGGGGATGAATGAATTTTTAAAGGCGCCAAGTCATAAATCGTACAAGATTTTGCAAGTTTGTTCATGTATTTTATCCCTACAGGAAGCACATCTCATTGTCATTGTCCTCAAGTGTTAAATCTAAGAAATGTGTGAAAGAATGGTCGGTAAAAGGGGCCCAAGTCAGGTAGAACTTTTTCTATTTATTACTATAGCAAAGAACACAAAATTTTGAAAATAAAAGCGTTAATTAGTACTAATTTTATGGTACCATCTCAAAAAAGTTATATGAATTTGTTTTTTGATTTAAAGCCTCAAATTCAGGTACCTACAACACATACAAATTAACCAAAGTCTGATTAATAATCTGAATGAACTGATTTAGTTCGAGTAAAATTCAGAAGGAACAAAGACCAGCTGTAACTGCACAAGAAGCGCTAACAAAGACAGAACGATAACACTACTAAGTAGTACTAGACAGTGGCGTAGAAATTTTAACTAACTCAACTACATTTACAAAGGATTTTCCAACATAAAACAAACAAAATTCAATTATAATTGGACTACAATAGAAATAACCAAAAAAAACCTAAATTGATTTAGCCCCTATATAATTGAGCCTAATTGTGTTTCAAAATCAATAATCTATAGACTTATGTTACGCTACTGGTAGGTATAATACCCCGGGAGGCCTATACGACCGCCAGACTTGTGGCCCATAGCGCATAAAAACATCACGTCAGTTTCAGTCATACAGTCGCTCGTACCGTGCTGTACTTCCCAAAACAATCAACGTGCGCGCTCAAATGAAAAATAATCACCGTCCTGATGATGGTCGTTGATAAGTGCGAAACGTAGCAAGTGTAGGATGTGTGAAATTTTAGGAATTATTTATAATGAAGAGTGCGGAAAGATTGTTGCTAGTGTTAATTCCAGGGACTGTGGTTTTTTTTGGACTGGTACTAGGCCAAAAAGGGTATACGATTTGCGACGTACAGGGATGTAATTGCACTGTTCCAGCAGGAGGGTGGAAAAATGTTAATTGTTATTTGTTAGACGATCAGGTAAGGAAATGAGTCACCTATATACTTATTGTTATCAATGAGTAAATTAATTACTTCATAATAAGACAAAAATGGTCAAATTACCAGAAGATTTTATGAATGAAATTCGTTATGCCAGTGATGCGTAAAAAATCATCCAATTTTTACCAAGTGAATAATTGGTCATAGTTACCCGAGAGGCCAATTAAAAGTCTAATTAAAGTTGTCAGTTGATTTGGTTAATTGGATTTCGGTTAATCAAAGAAGCATTAAATTCGCAGTAAACGAGAGAAAATTTTACAGTTTTTGATGCAATTTTTTCTTTATTAATTGAATTTCTAATTATGGTATCTGGTCATAAATCCACCATAATGTGGCTCGTTTTTCTTTTGGAGGCATAGATAAATCACATGGTTTTATGATTTATATTCGATTTCCTTTGGAAATTGGCTCTAAAACAGATTTTGTATTTAAACTCTCTAAAAATAGCTACAAAAATTTTGTTTATGTTTATATGTAACTAGTTTAAGTTATTATGTTAAAATAAAAAGTGGGCGGTGAATTGATTCAAGGATAACTACATGCATGTCTTTGTGAGAAAATATTAAGTCATGTAAAACTATAAAACAAAGGTTTGAAGCAATTTTCTGAAAATATAGTTTTAGTGAAGGATTACAGATCCTGAAAATTTCAGCTTATTTGAAGTTATATAGTTTCAGAGTTACAATTTCCTTAATAAGGAAAGAACAGGAAATTTTAAATTTTTCCTTGGTTGTGATTATAAAATTTCTAGGAACATTGTTAGTTACAAAGATCTACCAGAAGAATTTAAGATACATCTCAGCCTAATGAGTTACTAATGGATTGAACCTTTATTCCTTATCAGAACAGTAACAATAATTCTCAAATTCAAAGTACATACATACACATACTATTCAAACAGACCAAAATAATTTTGTTTTTATTAATTCTACTTCTCATGGTGAGATACATTTCGTCAAAATAATTTGTATTCGCCACACAAGGCATATTTTTCCCTGTAAGTCCCATAGAATTTTGTCCATGACGCGCTGGAACGTTGCAGGCGCATTTTTCAATCCGAAAGGCATTCACAGATACTCATAATGCCCGTTCTCTATGTTAAAGGCTGTTTTTTCAATAGATCTTGGGTTCATCTCTATTTGGTGGAATCCCGAGGCACTAGTTCTTCGTCAGTCCGTGTCCATCCATTGTCAGGTTTTTCCATGTCCCGCGATCTCTCGCTAATCTCATCCATTATTCCCCTGCCACCGTTCTGACATCGTCTATCCATCTCTTTTTCGTTCGTCCCACATTTCTTGTGGTTCCTCTTCCATCTACCTGGGTCTTGTCTCGCCACATGTCCGATCCATTGGCATTTCTAGCTTGCTACCCTTTTCACAACATCTGTTACTTTGGTTCTATCAAGTATCTGTTAATTTCGTATTTTATCTCTTGAGGTGACTCCCAGCATTATTCTCTCCATGACTCTCAGTTTCTCAGCTGCTCTTCGGGTTATTGCTATATTTTGTAAGCCGTAGGTGAGAATTGGCAGAATACAGCTGTCGTAGGCTTTCTTCTCTAGTTTTATGGGTACCTTTTCACCTTTAAAAATAAAGTTAATGTTTCCAAATGCCACCCATGCCAAATGGATCCTGCGTTTGATTTCCACTGTGTGGTTTTCTTTGTCTAGCTTGATTTTGTGTCCTAAGTATATGTAATGTTCTACATTTTCTATGGTAACGTTGATTATGGTGATGTAGCATTCATTTTTGCTCATGATTTTGGTCTTGTTTAGGTTCATTTTTAGGTCTATTTTCTTGGATTGTTCGTTTAACTCATTTAGCATGTTGTTCAGTTCTTGAATGTTGGTGTTCATCAAGACTATATCATCTGCAAATCTGAGGTGATTGAGATACTCCATCGATGTTTATGCCCTTGTTTTCCCATTCCAGCTTCTTAAAAGCCTTCTCCAGTGCTAGGGTACATAACTTGGGAGAGATGGCATCCCCCTGTCATACTCCTTTGCCAAGTGATATTTTGTTTGTTTCAAGATCGTCGTCTATTTTTATGTGAAAGGTTGCCTTATGATTTTTCCCTCTATCAGATCTCTGTTAGTGTTTTTCCACCCATCTTTAGCATTTCCGGTGTGATTCGAGCTTCTCCTGGACTCTTGCCGTTTTTCATCTGTTGGACTGCGTATTTAATTTCTGATGGTGATATTTTCGGCATGTCTTCTGAGCCTACGTTTGTAATGTGTTTAGGTGGTCCATTCGAGCTTGGTATAGTTTTTTGGTAGAGCTGTTCGTAGAATATTTGTATTTCCCTTCTAATTTCCTGTTTGTCTGTGATTAGGATTCCATGATTGTTTTCAATTTTTACAATTTTCTGTTTTGCCTTGTCGATCTTAGAACTCTTATGCCTTTATTTTTCTCTATAGTTTCCAGGATTTTGTTTGTTTTATTTTCTTTTAGGTCTTTTATTTTGTTTTTTCGTTGTCTTATTTAGGGTTGTATATTCTAGGGTGTTTCTGTCAATTTTTCTTATTGGTTCTATCGTCTCTGGTTTTAATTTGGTATTTGATCTCTGTCTTATCCTACTGCATGTTTTCTTTGTGGCTGTAGTTATGCCATGTGTTATTTTATTGAGAATTTCATTTATGTATTTATCCTGGAGTGCCGGTGGCCTTAGCGTCTTCTCCAGTTCTTTTTGATAGGTTTCCTGATTGAGTGGCAAGGCATCTCTTGTAGGGAATGTATGTCTGGTGATTAGTCTTCTCCTTTCTATGTTGGTATTTATTTGTATCTTGACATGTACTAGTCTGGTCGCTTCCTGTATCAAACCTGTTAAGCACTGTGCTATGTTTACAGATAGTGTTCCTGTTAGCGAAAATGAAGTATATTTCATGGTATTAGTTTAGTTGTTAAGATTTATTTTATTTTTCTGTTTTTTATTGTTCACTTTTTTTGCTTTCTTCATATACTTAAATATTGTTTTTCCACTATTTTTGCATTAATTTATTGGTCCGTATCAATCTCTCCATTTATAATTCTTTCATTCTGCCGTTCACTCTATTCAGTGTATAATTTTGTATTGTCCAAATTTTCTTGTGGGGTAATTCTTATGTCATCTGCAAAGTTTTATTTTGTTCTATTGACTGTTCTCTCTTTTATCAAATACAAGGAAAAAGTAACTTTTATTTGGAGAACATTGAAAGAAACAGGAATTCGAAAGCCGAGAATAGATAAAAATTGAAACCGAAAAATTTGAGAAATGAAGTGTGGAAATTAGAGAAAAAAACATAAATTTTCTATTCCAGGCGCATGGGTGTTCATTGGTATTCTCAACCCAGAATTTTGAGTTTAGTTAAAGAAAGAAAAATACTAAAAACTCAAGAGCCTAAAATAGACAAAAAAAAAATAACAAAAATGAAAAAAAAAAGTTTAAGAAACATTGCTGGAACAAGTAGAAATATCTCTTGCATATTTATTCTTCTACTTGGAGAATATCGAAAGAAACAAAAATTCAATAGCCGAGAATAGACAAAAATTGAGATCTAAAAATTTGAGAAATGAAAAATGGAAATTAAAGAAAAATTTAGAAAAAAAAAAAACTTAAATTTTCTATTCCAGGCTCTTGAATGTGCATTAGCATTTTCAACCCAGAATTTTGAGTTTATTTAGAGAAAGAACAAGAAGAAGACTAAAACTCAAGAGCCAGGAATAGACAAAAAAATAAAAAAATGAAAGAGAAAATTTAAGAAAAATTAGTAGACAAGTAGAAATAATATCCCTTGTATCCTTGTATGGGTTCTGCTAAATCCTGTATGAGTCTTGACAAATCCTGTATAGGTCCTGTTAAGTCCTACCAAGTCCTGCAAGGTCCTGTACCTGATTTTGGTATACCTCTTACTGAATCTGTTCACCCCTCACTAAAGAAAGAACAGGAAACTATTGTAATTATTGTCAATGTCTTTACATGGGTAATCAAAACCTAGAAAAACAAAACAGAAATCATCCATCCTATAGTATATTCCATCTAGATTACAAACATCACAATGAATGGATGATATTTTTTTCACCATACCAAATACCCTATAGAAGTGCCCAATCAATGCAGTTATTTGAATAAGGATCTGATGAAAACAAAACCGGTTGCGGCAACAAAACATGAGGCTGACAATAAAATTTCTTCCATTTCATCTACCATAAAATTAATTGAATTTTTGCTTCCAATGACTCTCCTCATTTACCATCTAGTGATTGATTTAATTGCCAAAATATCCCAAGTGATTTTGCTAGCTTTTTTCAATGTGCCAAAAGTTACTTTTGCTTGTGAACAGAATTTGGAAATTATTAAAGTTGACGACAGTCAAGATGTGTTTTGAATAAAAAAATTATACAAATTCAGATGCTGGTTCTGTTTGATGCGTTTAGTTTTGCCGAGTATCTGGAAGATTTCATCTATCACACCGATCCATAGAAGTTCCTACAAACCGAACAAAGATAATATACGGAATGTTGTTTCTCTGAGCACCTGGGAAAAATTATTTTCGTTTTAAACCAGATTTGCTTACTTTAGTAGGCAGAAGTATCAGTTATTTATAGCGACAAATGTAACCATGTTAATACCGTTGTGGAGTAAAACTGTGACAAAGAAATGTTAATTTTATCATTGGGTTTTTTTTTGTAAATATGAATAAGACCCAGATTTTCCAAGTCAAAGTCAATGTTGCGTTCATAGATTATGCTATTTTTATCATCTAAAAATACTAATAATTATTAGGTATGACACAAATTGCTTGGTCCATTGACTTCTAACAATAGTACATAGGAGTGCCTCAAAAATGTAATGATTATTATTTTTCTCGTAGCGAAAACAATGATCTATTTGTTTATTGTTGATTTGTAATGCTTTGGTGAATAATTGTAGTTGATTTCTAAGAAGACAAAATTCTGGAGTGCTTACACATTACCTATACTCGGAGTATTCTAATAATAGAA